TTTGTTTTTGTTTGGTTGGTCGGTTGTTTGTTTTCTGTTTGTTGGTTGTTGTTTTTGGTTGGTCAGTCAGTCAGTTGTTTGTTTTTGGTCGGTCGGTTGGGTTGGTTTGTTTAAATGATTATTTATTTAATAGTTATTTGACCCTAGTGCACCATTACATAGCTGAACATTTATCTGTTATGCCACACCTGTCCATGTCTAAGGTGTTCATGGTCTTTATTATATCTTTATTTTAGCCTTAATGCACTTTTGCATTTCTTGTCTTGCTTCTTTTATGTCTCATTTGTAACCAGCTGCTGCAACATTTAAACTTTCTCCTTCAGAGATCAACAAACTTCATCCTAAAACTGAAGATGACGAAGAGAAACATCTACATCTGTGCTGCTGTGAGATATAGGGTGAATGAAACCATTTGTGCACCAAAATAAAAGACTGTGCGTCTTACCAGTGGTCAGGTCACGGACTTTGAAGCTGTTCTTGACCTGGTGGCAGGACTGTCCGTTGCCCCCACACTGCAGGCAGGGGTCCTCCTGCTGATGAGACTCCAGGATGCTGTCGCAGCCGAGGCGCTAACGTTGGGAAAGATGATGGATTATTTCATGAACATAATGAAAACAGAAATTCAGATTTTTTTTTTCCAGAAAAATGAAACCCCTGCCTCAGCTCTGTTTTTGTTTGTTTGAGTTCATTGTATTTACTTGTCTATTTGACCTACAATACCCCAAACACGCTATTGTGCTTTACCATATTTTTCCAATGAGATAGAAACTTTTTGTTTAGCTTAAGCAATTTTTCTACAGAAACCTGCAAAAGGCAAAACTAAAATCACAGATTATCAGGTTTATGGACCAAACTGATACAAAACCCATTTAACAACTGTTTGTGATAAGAATGACTGTTTCTGTGAACATAATCTCCATTTCAATCCCAAAACCAGGCAAGAAAAACACGATTGGAGATTAAATCTGTTTTTTAAAATCAAATAAAGCGACAATAATGTTTAAAAACGAGCTGATTTTGTGGAGCTGCTGCCGTCAGAGGAGGTGACGTAGACGTGAAGTCGGAGGTCAAACAGTCGAGGTGTTTGGTGACGAAGGGGTTGAAAGGTTGCGACAGTAATTACATGAGAAAAGAGCGAGAGCAGAAGAAGTGTTTGACATTAGCACAGAGTGAAAGTAATCTTTGATCCTGCTGCTCGCCTCCTCCGAATGTGTCGCCTCTGATTAATGAGCTGGAGATATGAACTCAACCTCTGGGAGACTTTCCTGCTTTCATTTACTAAAAAAATCCTGTCATTAGACCTCATCTGCAACACAGATTAGACTTTTGGTTGCTTTTTTTTTTATTATTTTAATCAGACTTTTGAAGCTTCTGCAGTCCCTCAGAATTGGTTAGATTTCACAAAACATATTATTTGAGCTGCCATCTCGAAAATAATGCATCTTAGTTAATTCACATTTAAATGACTGATTATGTAAACACGAAATAGGATGCATTATTTTAAATTTACTTTTGGCATTTCTACCCTGTTTTCATTAGTATTCATGTTATCCCGACTATACGTCAAGCTCTACATGATCACAATACATTCTACATGCAATTATACCTTTCTTCAGCATGTATTTTCTTGTCCAGACGGGAAACCCAGATACAGATCACATGTTACCGTCAGGTATAAAAACATGTCTTCCCCCAGGGGAGCTGAGGAGACGTCAGCAGGAGCGTGTTTGGACAAAAGAAATCTAAATCTCTGTTTAAACTTTTAATCCTACAACAGACTTAAAGTATGTTTGCAGAGTTTAGCGCTTAAGAGGCTAAAAAAGAGCCCCTCTGGCTACGTTATGTAATCAGAAGGGAAAAAATGAGAGTAAACGTCACCTCACCTCTGTAACTTATTTTTAAAATTTTCCTGAAAGAGCCCCTATTGAGCTTTGTTTTGTTTTTTTTAATTTTCTTTTAGTGTTTTAAAGTTTTTTGTGCATGTAAAAGATCTGCATGTCTTATGAAATAATTTTCTCCCACTGAAAATTCTACTTCTTAACTGCCTGAAACGCCTCGTTTAGAGTTTAGGTTTTTCTTCTGTTACTTTGTGACATCACTATGTAACACATTTGCATAAAGCCTGTTTTGGTGGCTAGTTTTTTTTGTTTTTTTTAACAAAAAATTAGTACCTTCCTCGCAGTTTGACATAATTTCCTGGCTAGAATCACTTCTATGACGAGACGTTTTAAGATTTATTAGCTGAGTTTTACTATCTAGCAGAAAAATTACAAAAATCAACAACTTCATTTTGAGTAGTCAAAATTTCTCTTTCTCTGGATTATCACCTATTTCTGAGTAGATTTGATTTTTGAAAGCAAGTTAAGATTCACGTTAAGGTCTAACAAATTTCGTCGTTGCCACCCTCTTTTTATGAACTGTCAGGTGTTCATTCAGGGTTTTTCAGGATTAGAATGAGTCTTTGTAGAGGTGACAACACAGGACAGTACAAATTATTGGTCTACTACAGTAAAAGCAACGAAATTAGATGGAAATCAAAGCATTTTCCTGTTATTTCTGATTATTCGATGAGCAAAAATGTCTGCTATTCTTGAGTAAATTACATCCCAATTAACAAAACTTATTTTATGTTCCTGTCTAAAACCTCACAACACAAAAACTCCTCTATGTATGATAAAACCTTGTTCACTTGTTTGTGTTCTTTTCTGGTTGCAGCCTACCTTGCAGACTCCGTCCACACAAATGTCCCTCCGTCCTGGGTGACAGGGCGTACCGTCGACCACAGCATTGCCGTGGCGGTAGAAGAAGTTCTCTCCTCTCGGCATGCAGATCAGTTCACAGGGGTTCTCAGCTGTCAGAGGGAATTTAAAGTGTTTAGAAATACTGAGAAATAGCAGCTGTCTGGGTTGTTTTCGTAATTGGGGGAAACTCAATCCAAAAATCAACTTATTACCTATAATATACAGTAATTTGTGCAGATTGTTTTGCCTATTTCACGTGAATAAAGTACTAAAGTATTACGTATAGTACTATTTTGCTTCTGACCTCCATAATACGGCAGCCACTTGAAGCGTTTCCCTTGGAAGTCAGTCCCGTCAAACTTGGAGCACTGCTCTTCACGGAAATCCTTTGACCCTTCTGGACAGTCCTGAGTGGAAGCAACAGGATTTAGCAGAGTTAAAAAATCATCAGAGCAGAAATATTTCAAAGTTTGATTAAATATGAAACATTCAGTAAACAGAGAAAGTAAAAAAAATAATGTTTCTGGCACATTTAATTAAGCAAGACACCGAATGTTTGCAGATGATACTTTACTTTGACAGCGAGCTTTTGTATTTTTTACATGTATGCTCACCTTTAAAAGGCCACAGTGATATAAAGTAAGTTTTCATTTCAAAAATAAATCTGTAATACATGGAAATAAGAATGAGTTTCAGTTGTGTTTCATCACCTGGATGTTGCAGGAACTGTAGGACTTGTCTGGTCCCACACAGTTGTGTCCTCCATCCGTCCTGTGTGAACATGAATGAGAGACACTATTAGCTAATCTTTTTATAAATTAGCCCTGCAGCAGAGACAGAGTTTATCACATTTCCTTCTGGGTTATTCCACCTCAAATCATCAGTGAACTTCTGCCCATCTGTCTATGATTTCATTTATCTTAAACGATAGATATTTAAAATGGTATCTTTGACATTTTAGCATGATACATCAAATATGTTCTGAGACAAATTTGCTGAACAAACTGATGCACATTTAGTGTGTTTTATCGCACATTGACAATTGAGGCTATGTACAAGTGACAATATCTCATGAACTAATAAAGATAAAAACCTGAAATGTTACTGTATTCAATTAAGGGTGTTATAGCTAATAATTCATGAGATATTGTCATTCAAACAGATTCTCAAACTGCAATGCGTGAAAAAAGGTATTGAAAGTGGGTTGACAGTTGTTTTATTTTTTTTAATATTATCGCCATATTTTCTGCTATAAACATTTTAGGCAAATCAGAGATGGTAAGGAGAAATTGATGATGATTTAGATGGCTGATCGTACAACAAGGTGAAGAATATTAATGTTTCGCTAGATCTTTAGCATATTCACACAAGTTCAAAAGGGCACTGAAGAGATTTTGTCCTGTGTTTAGAGTAAAGTTAGAAGACTTGTCAGGGACAGATTGAAAAGGTGAGCTGTTGTCAAGTCCGAGACATCCTGACTTTTATCCTGACTTCTAGCGTTGTCTGAGCACCAAAAACTGGATTTAAATCTCCTATAACACAACAGGAGAGCATCTTTATTTGGTTGCTTCTCTGCTCCTAAATGTCCACTGGAATGCCTCTTGAAAGTGCACATCTATTGACCTAATATTTGTACGTTAACTGCTTTAAAACTAAATTCATGTTAAATTGGCTTCAAGTCTAATCTCCGACTCATTTAATATCCCTCGACAAACTACTGGTCAGTTATACAACTTCAGGTTAAAATAAAAAAAAAAAAAGATTGACAAACACGAAAAAGCTAAAAACTGCGAAAGAAAATCTAATTGCAGCAACTTAATTTGTTAAATGTCATCAACCTAAAAACTTGTGTTCATAACTATGGAAATTTTTATGAATACTCTTGAACAATCTTTTCAGATAACGTGGAGAAGCTTGGAACAGCTTCTTCTAATTATCAAGTAAGTGGTAAATAAAAATATCTTGCTGGTTGAACACAGTTTCATTATTAGTTGTCATAACTAAAAGATTGATGCAAATTGTTGCGTCAAGTCTTTTTATTGATCCACAGGGAGGAAACACAAACTCCACACAGGAAGACCTTCTTGCATCCAAGTAAACTGGCCTTCAAGTGTAAATCTGATGCCTTTTCAAGCTACATCTTGTCTCCAATTAGACCCATCGCTGTCAGAAAATCCTCTTTTTGATCTCTGTGCGCTGAAGTTCCATTAAATCCTCACAGTAGCGGGACAGAAGCGGTTAACAAGTAGGTGCAGCGAACGTATGCAAATACAGCTCAGACAGTCTGCAGAAATAACAAGCTGCAGCTCTGACATTAAGCAGCATTCCTCTTTAATCTGCACCTGTAAAGAAAACGAGCTCTCGGCACAGCAGAGGCCTCGACATCAATACCGTCGGTAAACTGTGAGGCAGCGGATCGTCCCATAACTCGTTATTAAGTCATCCGCTAAAGTGTCTGCCCCGGAGGCCGAAAAACAAGCCTCGCTCCTGTCAGCGCGCCAGAACTGAATCTAAAACGGTCGTTCCACGACGACTTTTAATTTAAAACGACACCTGACAGAGATGCAGAGGAAAGTGGCAGTTAAACGCTAAATTGAAACTGACAAAATGATAACCTCGGTGCAACTTGTGAGTCTCCTGGATGGTGAAGGTGAAGTCATTTAAAAAAGAAAGGTGAAATGGGAGTTCCTGTAAAGCACACGGTGATTCAATCTGTGAAATCACTGTATTTAAAAGGTGTGATTCAGGCGAACCTGGCAGACAAGATATGACAGAGTTCAGCCAAGTAGGTAGCAGTGGGCAGGACTCCGTCACTATTATTCACAATTCAGCTGAAGAGGGGAAACTAACAGACACTGACTCACTGGCTGACTGCATGGACATGTTCAGATCCAGCATAGGGAATTGAAAGGACTCGTAAACACATCTATTAGCGCTTCTGCACACACGGCTTCCTTTATGTAATTATTTAATGTAGAAAAACTACACTTTCCAACAGTTTGCTGTCACAGAAATGCACAAAAACAGCAAAAAAAAAAAAAAGGGGGGGAAAAGGGTGAGAGTGAAAACTGTTTGGACTTGTTAAAGTAACAGATCATTATGTCGTGCCTGGTGGGCATCTGTCTTCAAAAAACAAACTTGTTTTTATAAGTTTCTCCCAGTTATTGCTCAGTTAGACACACCTACGTTCTGCTAAGAATTCAATGCCAATAAAATATGGCGCTGATGAAAGAAAGATGACTTTTGGGTACAAAATGGAATTTCCTGATTTGCAGTTAAAGCTAGAATAGAGCTTCGATCACCAAAAGCGTGAAAAGTCTTAAATAACTGCTCGTGAGTTTAATAGGCACATTATTTTAAAAAAACAAAAAAAAAACAAAACAGATTTACACCATTTATTGAAACAAGAAGCTAAATAAGCAGAGAGAGTTTCAGCTTTCCCAAAGTCCAGGAACTATGACGTGTGAAAATAATTAAATCTGAGCTTAAAATCCTGATATTTCATCAACAATTCCTTATTCAACCTGCCCTGTTTAAAAATTAAACAAAAATAAACCATTTGACCTGATTAGATTCTGTAAAAAACATAAAATCCGATGCTCCTCCACACAACCATAAAGCCTTTAGTGATTAATGTGTGGCCGACAGTCACATGACAAGAATTCAGCGAGTATTTGGTTGAACTGCAGGTTGTGTTCACAGAGCAAAGAGGAAACTAATTAAAAGTGTAAGTACACAAAAACAATAAGAATTTTCCATTGTTGAGAACATCTGTGGACAAAAATGTTGTACATGTTGATTCAGTGGTTTTTTTAAAAAATTTGGTTAAATGAATAATCACAGAAATTCAACTGTTTTTTAAATTTATGTCATCCTAACGTTGTCACACTGTACAGGAGACATTTCTGTGTTCTCTCCCCTTCTAGTCATGGTTGTTCTGTTTCCATTGAGGTTCTGGACCGGAAAAAATGAGCCTAAAGTTAATAAAAATATGACAGGACGCCCAGAAAGTGCTTGGAGTTTGGAGGTTTGAAGTTGTATGAGTTGAAATTATGAAACATTTCACACCAAAAAAAAAACAAACCCACAAGCATTAAAAGAAAGTTCAACAAGTGAATGCTAATTAGTCCAGAACAAATTTGGATTTATCTTGTGGGTCGATGGAGTCAAAAAGTTTTTAAACTCAGCTGTGCGAGTTCTTGTACTTTAATGTATTTATTTATTTTAAATGATACCAAAACCTACAGTGTGCAACTTTTGTCTCCCCCTTCTGGCAGCGACAGTAACTACACAAACACTGTTGACTCATGTTTGATTGATTTCTCCTTTAGACTGACTTTCCTCTGAGCTTGTTTTTATTATCTCAAGAATCAGAAACTTTTCTCAGTAGGTTTTTCCACTAAGCTCCGAGCTGCTGTATCTTATAAATTGTTGTTGGTTTTTTTCCTGGAAAGTCGCATTCAGAGAGATTTACCTGCCCCTGACAGGCTTCATCTGCTTTGTGTAAACTCGATTTATTCCCGCAATCCAGCTTTGAGTGGGATTTTATTTATGATGGAGGATTTAACATTTACTATAGTACAGGATCTGACTAATTCCTCCAGCACAAAGAGGCAGATAAGACACACATCACTTCCCACCTCGTGAACACAGATCGCTTTACATGAGGCAACACGCCAGCTGGATTCCTGCAACAACCGCTATGAATACGGTGTTTACAAGGAAAGCTGGCAGCACTGGTGAACACGCTGCAGTCAGACAGAAGACGAGCAGCTCGGAAACCAACCCAAACATGGACGGATTAACACTTTAGCAGATCAAAACGTTCAAATCAATAAATCTTCGGAGCCAAAATAAAGGTGGGCAGACAGAAAGTCCCCATCCGATCCTCTCCAGCGGCCAACACCCACCGCTGAGCAGGCCTTTTATTGTGAAGGGCTCCACCCTGCAGTGTGCTTTGGACGTGAGACAAGCCCTCGTCCTCGTGACTTCAAGGCATTCTTTCACAATCAAGATACAGTCTGTGCCCGTGAACCTCACAATTAGTTTTATTCACACAGGAAAAAAAAACAAACCTGTGTGTGTTCAGGGACTGAACCTCTGTTTGACCGAGTGCGTCCGGGTTTACTCGTGCAACTCACCTGTGAGTGATGCAGCGTCTGGTTCTCACTGTCACTCCGCTGCCACAGCTGCGACTGCAGTCTCCATAAGGACCCCACGACTCCCAGTAATCTCCACCGGGCACCTGAATGCAAACAAAAACAGCAGTTTATACACTTTGCTGCAAAAGCAAATCTATCTACTGTTCCTAAGGCCAAGAATGAACTTTGAAATTCAACTTTTAACCTTTTAACATTCACCCTTTTATTGGAATTTCTTGGCGTACCCAAAAGGAAAAGCTCATAACAGAAGAAATGTAAGAACAAAATGCATGTTTGAGACGTGACTTGGAAAGAAACATCCTCTAGTTTGTAAAAAAAAAAAAGTGCTTGTTTTACAAATGAAATCACCCTACATGACAACAACTGGATCATTTTACCAAAAAAATGACTATATTTATAGAAATCATTAAGGAATAGACACATCATCTGATTTTATGACAATTTCAAAGGAGGAAGTTTGTTTTGTTTAACATCTGAACTGTTTATACTTTAATCATTGTGGTTTCCATATAAACAACTGAATGGTTGAATTGTGGCTCCTATCAAACCCAACTAACTATGTGCAGCAGGTACATATGACCAAAGTTTAACCATTTATGCCTTTATGTGCAATGCTAAGCCATTTTTAACTACACACAAAGAAACAAAAATACAAAATTGTGAAAATTTGGCTGCAATTAAAAGCATTAAAACACAGTGTGATACGGTGAGGATAAAAAAACTGTCAAATTTGTGAAGATGACGCAAACATCTGTAAAATAGTAATATTTTTAACTGCCTTAAATACTGTGAGTATAAGTATAAGTAATTTTAAACTGAAAGACATGAACACATTTTAGGAAAATGCCACTTTTTTTTGCAATTCTACTTTTTCTATTTCTTTTAAACACTGTTAGGTTTAATTTAATCAACAAAACGTATGCATTGAACTGTAACTTTATATTTTGTAACTAAAACTACCATTAATTCTCATTAATAAAAAAATCAGTCAGTGTCTTGCTTCATCGACAAATAGTTGAATTCTCACCTTCAGATATTCAGCGTGCAGGTGTCAAAGGAAAAGCAGCAAATCCTCATATTTTAGAACCAGTAAATGTCAAGATTGTGCTCCAGAAAACAACTTGTATGATAATTCTGTGTCATCTAAACAACTAATTGATTAGCCAGTTGGTTGTTGCAGCTCTATGTTATAAATTAACTGCTGTACAAATTGCATTCATTTAAAAAAAGGAATGTGAATTAGAAAAAAGTCATTGGAGTCTTGCACAGAGCCTTTGGTCTTTCTTAGGAGTACGTATTCATTTCCAGTGGATCGACTGGGAGTTTACCGTGAATGCAGGAGCCAGGAGCAGCTGAAGGATTACCAGAGGAAGCAGCATCTTCATTGTTCCCTGTGGAGAGAAAAAAAAAAAAAGAGTTAGTCACTGTGACTAATAAAGGCTATTACACATGGAGCAGCGTTCTCGGAAACAAGCCAGGGCAACGGGAGTGAAACAGTAATTGATGGGATGTGTGCGACTCAGGCCAACACATATAAAACGGAGCTCGAAGGGCTGAAGAAGACGCAAAAGGTCTCTGAGCAGATCTGTTCTGGCTGACAGTCGGGAAACCTCAGTTCTGTTGCCCTGCGGCGCTTCCTAAAACATTTCCAAGTGTATAAATCAGCCGTAAATCAGTGGGAGTGTGGTGCTGAGTGGCGTATGAAGACAAAAACATTTGGGCAGGCGCTAATTATCGATTAAGGTGATGCCAAAACACGTTTAAATTGATCTTTTTAACTATTTCTTGAACATATACTTGACGTAAAAGGCGTCACATGCACTCGTAGCTATGCGGCTAAAAATATGAAGCTCACACAACGTGCCAAAAACCGCGGTTCCTCGAACGGCCACTAGAGGCTGGCTATGAAAGTGAGTCAATCCCCATAGACCTCCATGTTAAAATGTTCAACTCTGCAGCAGGAATAAACACGTTTACAGCCTGGTATATAAACAGTTTGGGTCTCTATAGCTAACTTACACATTTATGAAAACTGTACCGGGGGAATTTTTAGAGGATTCATGCATTTAAATTTTTATCAAGACCTGAAATTAGGGCCACTTTGAATTACAGGTCAGTACAGTCAAAGGACAGTCCATCCACTCTTATATACAGCCTGTACTCTTAACAGGCAGGAAGTCCTCAGAGTAAAAGTTAAAAGCTGAGATGTGCAGACCTGGACAACAAAGCCTTCAGAAACCCAACCAGACGTAACAAAAGTGTTTTTTAACTAAAGTGTAATGTACATTGTGTGAAGGTTGCAGTCATGAGTGTGTGTTATGTCTATGATTAAGAGTCCGCCTGCGTGTATATGGATATGTTTAATACAGATTCACATTGTATCAGGGTGCTACAGCTTGAAGATGAGATGCTGTGATTTAGATTTAGATTAAAATACAAAGTTTTCTTGATGATGTTAACATTCTGTTTTATTATTATTACATTAAAAAACATCAAAGTAACTGTACATTCACTGAGCTGCTAGTGACCATTAATTAAAGCCATTCATCAACCACAACAAGCTCAACAAGCTCACTGATGAGTCAAGACTCGGAGTTGACTGATGTGATTTTGTTGGGGTCAAACCAACACTTATTATTAGTTGTAAGAGGTCGCACTGACCCTCAGATCTAACATGGATTGTGCTGAAATCAGGAAATACTCCTGAGATGCATCAAGCACAACGGCGCAGGACATCTGGAGATTTTAGAACTTCTGGGAAATCAAGTAGAAAACAAAGAACCTCCAAAGTCCAGCAGCTGCTATTTTAGCTACAGCTCTATTAATTATGTATTATAAAGTTGTAGATGATGGAGAATCTCTAAACCGTTGTTGAAGCCTGGACCCTCACATATTTGTCTGATGATGAGTGAACAAAACAGAAAGCATGCATCGGCCTCAATCAACAAGCTCAATCAACAAAAATGCACCAACGCTGACTTGCTTTTGGATTTTTCAGATTTTGATAAACATCAGAAACGACCATGTTTACCCACGAAAATTCAAATAATGACGCAATTCTGTAGGTTCATGACTTACTCTCTCCCACAATCTGATTCCTGAAACCCCAGATCAGACCACAGCTTTACTACAGGCTCAGGTTCAGTTAAGGTAACATCAAGGTTTGACGTTTAGTCTTCTGTGAAAAAGTTTTGGTTGATGGTCACACAAAACAAAACATTCTCATATTTCATTTGGACTTTGGGACACAGTGATGGATGCGTTTCACTATTTTCTGACTTTTTATTGAATAACTGATTATTAAAACAATAACTGCCAGATTTATGAACAATAAAATAATCATTAAATCAGCTCTGAGGCAGTTTAAAGTCTCTAAAATTAGTCTTAGGTGGATTTATAAGCCAGAGTAAAGTGAAGAAAAGCCTTTGGAGCTGCTCTTTAAACAGCAGCCTTATCATTTCCGTCTGCTATCTGTCACTTAATTGCTTAACTGGGCTAAAACTGTTTCCTTTGTTGCATGTGCAGAGTTTGTTTGTTTTTTCCAGGGCAAATGGCGGCTTTCCTGAGAGACAGAAGGGGGTCGACTGGAGCTGCCAAACCACCTCTGACCTGCAGCCACGACCACCGGCTGATGTTACCCCACAGCGGACCGGGGAGTCGTCCCGTCTGTCTCAAACAAACACTCGCTGCGCCAAGAGGCTCAAATTGAGCAACTTAATGGTGTAATGGGGCTGGGTGGCGGCAATCTGAGCTGCTGCTCTGTCTGGACCCGCAGGAATCGTTCACCTCTTAATGTGATGAACCTCCCACAAAATGACAGACGCACAAAGTCGGGCTGCAGCCAACGTTTAATCCGTTATCGACTGATGAGCTGACTGTTTCTCAAAACGTGCATAAAATGTAAAAAACAGCAGAAGAAGTTTAAAGAGCTCGAGGTGACGTCATTAAATTACCTGCACCGTAAAGGAAGCGTATTTGAGCTGCAGTCGAAGTAAAATACTGTTTATCTCACTTCTCTTTCTGCTTTGTTGATGGCAGGTTACTTTCATGGATTCTATTAACTTGAAATTATAGTTTGTCCCTTTGAACTCGGGTTCTAGTTTCTGCTCAAGTGCAAAAATGGAGGTTAGCGTTTCACCTTTCTTCACTTTTCTCTGCTGCAGCTCCTGTTTTTTTAAGAAGTTGGATTATAGATTTACAACAAGAAGAGCAATAAGTTTAAGAAGAAAAACAAGTTTTACATTTTATTTTCATACTTAGGTTGGAAATCTTGGAAACTTTCCTAAAAAATCAAGCTGCAGAAACACTCATTTGAGATTTAAGTACATCTAATTTAAACCAGCAGCTTTAATATTACCTGTTAACTTAATTTGGGGAACTCAGTGCTTGTTACCAATTGAAGTAATTCAGTGTGTTTTGTTTGGTCCAAACCCAGAAATATTCAATTTACTATCACATAAATCAGAAAAGCAGCAAACTGTCACATTAGTGAAAGTGAAATTGGGTAATATTTGACATTTTTTGCTTAATAAATGGTCTTAACTGATAAACTAACTGTAAAAATTCATCAGATTACATCACATCAGATCATTTCAGGAACAATAAATGATGAGTTCAGGTACAGTCACTGTTTTTAAAATGAAATCCTCCAAATCGATTCAAAACTGAGGCATGATTTCGAGGATAAAAGCTCCTGAGCAACATGACTTCTAATAAACGTATTATTATTATATCACTGGTTTACATCACACACAACAATAGTCCCCCGTAAAACCCAAACAAAGAACCACTCCCTCACATTTCACAGAACAGTTCTAATTACAGGCTCCAATGGCTTAAATCTTTATCACAGCTAATTTCTCAGTTGACATTTGACAAACCTGAGGCGGATCCTGACCACAATCAGCCACTAATGTGTTTAGAAACTCCCTGTGAGTTTCTGCATCCCTGTTCCAGCTCATAAAGCCTTCAGCCTCAGGCCACTACCTGCCTTTATGCCAGTAAATTAACAATTATTAGTCAGTGAGGGAGGGCAGGCAGGGTCCTGTGTCAGTCTGGAACATGATCCAGAAGTCCAACGGAAGAGTCATTTATTGTGTTTCTGCAATGATTTATGAATAATCTGAGTTCATTCTTGGGTTTGGTCGCATCCAAAGTGTCTCTTAAGGTTATCTGATGTAGGTTTTGTCTAAAAGTTGGAGACCTGCTTTATTCTCCTGTTGTATCCCCACATGAGCGCACAAAGTTTGTTTTACGCGTCCTGTGGTGTCACATCCATGTTTCTGCCATTATTTTAGTCGCTTCTCTTGAAATAAATAGTTCAATCAGTCTATAAAACAACTTTTTTCCCCCCTAATCTACTCTAATAAAGTTTTTCGTGTCGCTGCGCAATCACTTCTTCCAAAGTGCCAAAAAAAAATACGCACTTTCTTCCAAATCTCTGTTATCCAAAGAGAATCTGACACACACAAAACAAGCCTTGGTTGAGGTTTAGAAGAGTCACATTTGGCTACTCACCCTGCTCAGTGGTTCTAAACGCGGTTTCTTGGAGAGCCAAACCGGCGGACGGTGCGGGGCGCAGCTGGTTTCTCTCCGGAGCTCTGACTTGAAGATGCGTCTGGAGCGAAGCGCAGCGTCCTGGATATATGAGGAGGGTTCTCTGACTGGGAACCTTTGTATCGCTCTCTCTCTCTCTCTCTCTCTGACAGGAAACCGAGCAGAGAAAGTCCCCCGTTGGTTAAACCTCCTCCGCGGCGTCATCAGCGCGCTTCTCCACCGTCCAGCCCAATTACTGCCCCTCCTGACAGCGATGGCGACCCCCCCTTCTTTTTACGCGCAGTCTGTAATTTCTCACTGTAAAAATAACAGTTAATCAACGTGTTCGTTTGTTGTAAGCTCCCCAAGAGCGTAAAAAAGTCGCCCCTTGTCTGGAACCACCGCGTTATTATGGCGCTCTCCCACTGTTGTAATACCAGGGTAACCATCCGCTGGGAGTTCTGGTTCTGATGGGAGGCTGGGCCACAATTTCTGGCTGCAAATGGGTCCCAAATGTTACCTGTCAAGTCCAGTTAATTGGGTTGTACAGTGTGTTGGTTGAACTTTTGTGTTTTGTTGACATTTTTCTTTAAATATAGTTTTCTTCCTTTGCTTCTGACCTCATTAGGTGCAGTAAAGGACGCTTCATTTGGCTCCAACCGAGCTTGTACAGTTGACTAAATACTGAAGTGAAGCCTTGTAATTAGGAAACCAGTTATAATTAATGTAGTGTGCACTGGAATATACCACACACACACACACACACACACACATACATACACACACACATACATACACACACACACACACACACACACATACGAAAAAAAAAATACTTACAAAAAAAATTAAAAAAAAGACAATTTACTCTTATTTTACACATTTTCACTGTTTTGTTCCATTATGGAAAATAACTTGTAAAATTACAGAAAAAAAACATACATTTCCATGTTAACCCCACAAAAACTGGCCAATGTACTCTGGCAAAAAACAAACAAAAAAAAAGTGTATATTAGGGATTATTTTTTATTTAACAGATTTTCCCTTTTTGCTGAATTATTATTAATAATATCTACATTTCTACTGTAATTTGTTAAAATGCAGGTCAAAACTGTAAATAATGTCATCCATAAAAAATAAAAAAATATTAGAAATGGTGATTTGATATGTGACTGTAAAGTTACACCTTATTTATTATATTTAAATTAGCAAAAATGTAACATATATATGTAATTGTACTATTTTTAGGTGATGTAAATGCAGCAAAACTGTTTCAATCAGTTCAACATTATCAGAGAATCAGTTTCTATTTGCAAGCTGCAGTTTTTTTGATGTTAATAGGAATCACAGTGTTGACCTGTGTTATTGCATTTAAAATCAGCACTTTCCCCCCCCCTTTTACTGGATAATATCACTAATTTGCCAAAACAGGAAAATCTAAAATAAAAATATATATTATTTCTAATTTTTCAGTTCTGAATTTACAGAATTTTTCTTTCAAATAATGTCAAATATCTGTAGAATAGTGGTTGTGCTGATTTTAACAGTGAAAATAGCCAAATGATGTAAAAGACAAACTGTCATTTATAAAAGTAGAGATTTTTGATGTGAACATTGTTTACCAGCTTTGACTTGTTTTTAATGTTAACATGTAAAGTAATACTGACACTAAACTGTTTTAAAACAAAAACTACAGTTTAAAACCTGTTTTTTTACAGTGTACTTTAAATGGCTCACCAACAACCTGGTGGCTGCTGGATGCTTTTAAACTAGTCTGACAAGATCACTTAAATGGAAATGGAATTATTAACAATTACAACACAACTTTGAACATTTTTTCTTTGTGAGAAAAATCATGTGATCTGTGTTTTACAGTGTAGTTAAAAGCCAGAAATAACTGCATCAACTGTACAAACATGATAATATATGACAGCTTTGACTTTGATGTTTTCAGCTCATTCTGTCATTTGAAATAACTGATCTTTTGATGCATGTCTACATTGCGGTGTTGCTATTTCCGCTCCATCACTGCCTCACAGTGGAGGTAAAATAACAGCAGCTCTGTGTCCGTACTGTACGCGCTGCACAGGCAGATGTTTTACATTTTGGAGAGCTAAAGATGGCAGATTTGACTTTTTTCTGGGTAGTTCGGTGTCTGTTTGATGGTCCATTGAGCGTCTGTGGTCTGGTGGCGTCTCCGCTGACATGAGGCGAGTTTCCTGCCTCCACAGAGCTTCTGGTCACCTGTCAGCCGCTGGGATCTGACATACTCAGACTCGTGAGTCACTGCGTCTGGCTCAAATATGAAAAATAATCTCCCGGCGTAGGCAGATGAACAAACATGTGGGTTTTGGTGACATATTTGGTGTTTAAACGTTTTGTCTTCTGGTCTGGAGGCCACAGTTTGTTCACACTCTTTCTGAAAGAATCCCAGGAATATAAAAATTCAAAACATGATGTAAAAACTGCAGCACACAGCTTGAGACAAAAACGCATCACACCCAAGATGTATTTTAACATAAGCCCATAAGTACATGCCCTCAAACTTTGGGGTGTTTGTTTTCAGAAGCCAGTTGGGATGTTTTAGAACGAGAGCAGAGGAAGAAGAAGTCCTCTTTGGGAAACATCTTGGCAGATGTTTAAACATAGCTCTGCTTGTGTCTGTAGTGGTTTCCTCTTTAAAACCAGAAATAATCACTTTTCTATGTTGTTTTCATGCATTTTTAACATGTTTGAGCAATTAAACTGTCAGAGTTTCCTACAGGCTCAAGTTTTACAGTTTTGGTTTGAGATCGGACTTTAGAATTGTGAGATAAAGATAAACTCGTTGTTTATCTTTTTATCTCTAATTGTGTGTTTGGCTGCGAGTCAGATTGATATATCAGCTCGATGACACTTCCTAAATTTAGGAGAAATGCTCGTAAACAAAAACAACAGTTAGACTAAAGCTGCAAAACAAACAACAAACTTTCAGACGCTGTACATCTGATTGGTGAAGACAGATATTTTTATATTTCATACTAGTGTGTTTGGATTTGTGTTACTGAAGTTAAAGTTCTACATCAGTGCACCGGACAGGTCAAAACTGGAATATTAATTAGATCTTTTATGTTTGGCCATACCTGCGATGGACTGGTGACCTGTCCAGGGTGTCCCCTGCCTTCACCCTATGTCGGCTGGGATAGACTCCAGCCCCCCATGAGCCTCGTGAGGATTAAGCGGTGTGTAGATAATGGATGGATGTTTGGCCATAATATTACTCAACTTTTCCATCCATCCATTATCTATACACCGCTTAATCCTCACTAGGGTCATGGGGGGCTGGAGTCTATCCCAGCTGACTCAGGGTGAAGGCAGGGGACACCCTGGACAGGTCACCAGTCTATCACAGGGCTACACTTAGAGACAGACAACCAAGCACACTCACATTCACACCTACGGACAATTTAGAATCACCAATTAACCTCAACATGTTTTTGGACTGTGTGGGAGGAAGCCGGAGAACCCGGAGAGAACCCACGCTATAGGGGGAGAACATGCAAACTCCACGCAGAAAGAGTGTGAGGGTGTCCTCACCGGGACGCGAACCGGCGACCTTCTTGCTGCGAGGCAACAGTGCTACCAAATGCAGCCCTTACTCAACTTTTACTGTATTTAAATGTTTAAATTGGCAATAAATACTGTAATTTTTGCTGTTAGTTCTAATAAAAGTTATATATATTAATGATAGAAAAATTATGCATATTTTTAAACTGTTATTATACAGATTCTCTCTGTTTCGTTAAAGAATATCTTGGAAAAAATTCAGAAAAAGTATTAATTGATATGTAAAGAGAGGAAAATTGTTTATGTTATTTTTTTCTTTTACTGTATTTAAACTTCAAATAATAGTTATTTTACATGTATTTGTTGTTTTTTCAGAAATAATGTATATTAAGTGTAGAAAATGGTAAATATATATATTTTAAAACGGTTATTTTATGAATTTTTTTCTATTGTTGAAAAATGTCCAATAAAATCATAGAAAAAAAATGTAGTAATTTGCTGTTGACAGCAAAAACCAACAGAAATGACCAAAACTGCAATGGTCATAAAATTACACTTTACATTTATTTATTTATTTTTACTTTCTTCAATATTTCTTCAAACATTTTACAGATATTTGCTGTTATGTTAAAGAAAAAAAATGTTTATAAAGGATAGAGAAATGATCGATAACTGCTATTTTAAAGAGTTTCCCTGTTTTGGCAAATATCATCTAGAAAAATTCTGAAAATACTGAGTGGAAAGAAATTAAATAAAATTAAAAATGAGTTCTTTTACAAATAGCAATTTGTTCTTTTGTCATGTGTGACTGTAAAACGAAACAGTTGGACTGTATTTAAATGGTTTGGAGGAAGCAGCAGGTGTTTTGTGCTGATGGTTCTTCTGGACTCAAACACAATAAACCGACTTTGTTGAACAGTTTGGCAGGTTTTTGTTGCAGCATTGTGACATTTTTCAGCAGAAGCAGTGACGCTCTGAGCAACGCTCTGCTGGGAAATTCACGTGGATGTTATTTTGTCACCTACCTAAACGTCGCTGTAGCAGGTTTCACTGACGGCCTCGTTCAGCGGGACAATGATCCCTGATACACTGCAAACATTGTTCTGGAGCAGTTTGAAGAACACGACACACGTGGAAACAAGAACTGGCAGATGAAGGGATGATAATAAAGATTGTTGTGCAGCAAATACAATCTCCACATTTGTTTTTTTTTTTTAACAGATAAAGCACCTGGTAGCAGTAACAACCCCAAAACAAACTCACTCCTGGACTTTACGAATGAGTAAAAGAGATCTTGATTTAAAATGTAAATGAAAAACAACATGTTGTCTGCCTTTGTGAAGCTGACCAATAGATTTTTATGTACAGTCGTCCTCAAATGTATTCATATCTTCATATTAAAGAAGGAAAAACACAGCTGTCACTGAAATAAGTTGAAATTGACAAAAGTAATAATAATAATAATAAAAATAAAATTAATGAACATCATGACGTTGCTATTGTGGTTCAACAGAAATGTTAAAAAACAAAAAAACAAACAGACACTCTGCTG